TCTTGAGTGGGCACTCCAAGCACGCCGTATGTGGTGGTCCCTTCTCTATCTGAGCTGCCTTTTCCCCCAGCATGTGAGGCTAGCTTCCAAGCCATGGAGCAATCTTCCTGGTACTCTTCTCTACTATTCTTGGGTGTAACTCTCCTATTCTGTTACTTATATTCCACAAATGAGTGCAATCTTTCTATGTCTGTCTCTCTCTTTCTGACTCATTTCACTTAACATGATACTCTCCCTGTTGATCCACTTATATGCAAATTTTATGACTTCATCCTTTCTAACAGCTGCATAGTATTCCATTGTGTAGATGTACCAAAGTTTCTTTAACCAGTCATCTGTCCTTGAGCACTCGTTTTTTTTTTTTCCAGATTCTGGCTATTGTAAACAGTGCTGCAGAGTCATAGTCGTTTCTTTCTGTATCCGTTGACCCAAGCTCCTAGAGCAAAGCTGACGCCTATTAGGAGAGATCTCCTCTGAACAGATTGAGAAAAGTCTACGGAACCCTTGTGGGAAGGGATCCCACAGAAGTAACAGAGGCAATGAGGAGTCAGGTCCCTAGCCTTGGCTGGTTTTCATAACAAAAGACTCAAGAGAGAAACCACTCATGGGCTGCATACTATCAAATGGAGGTGAATCCCTATCAATCCTTTTAAAGTATTGCTTTTTTGTTGTTTTTGGGTCACACCTGGGAATGTACTGGAATTACTAGTGGCTCTGCCCTCAGGAATTATGACTGGTGATGCCCAGGGAACCATATAGGATTTTGGGCACAGAATCCGGGTCGGCCGCCTGCAAGGCAAATGCCCTGTCTGCTGTACTGTGCTCAAGCCCCATTTTAAAACTATTTCTAATTTGACAACTGGATTATGTTGGTTATAGTCTCTGAGACTATAAAATCCAGATCCCGGACGAGAACAGTGCAGTCTTTTGCCCCCGCGCCTGGGTGTCCCTCGCCGGGACCCCTTGGAGGGGCTCCGGCAGCCGAAGACCTCCAGGACCAGCCAACACCATGCTGAGACCACTCTCCGCACACATGAAGGTACTGGCAGAGGGACAAAGCCACGCGGGTTTCGGGGCCAAGACCTCCAAGCCTACTCGAATTGGAGTCGAGCATCTTCCACCCAGATCCTCCAAATTCCAGTAGGCGGGGTCACACCCACCACCTGGCCCCCTGGCGCCGTGTAATCCCATCAGCGGCCAAGACTCAGAGACTATAAAATCCAGATCCTGGAGCCGCGCGGCCGCATTTGCGGCCGCGCGACATCTTATCAGAACTTTTTTTTATGACATCTTATTGTCTCATTCCTACTTTGGACAAACTTGCAGGCTATCGAATGTAGCCTGCCCACAGGGCAGAGTCTGGCAAACTCCCTGTGGCCTACCCAATATGCCAAATACCAGTAACAATGATGGGTCTCATTCTCCTAAAGAGCCGTGAATATAATCTCAGGGCTAGGACGAAAGAGACGTTACTGGGGCCTGCTCGAGGCAATCGATGATTAACAGGATGATGAAATGATGAAATGAAATGAAAAATTATGTTGGTAAAGCCATCTGGCAAATTTAAAGTAAAGGTGAAGAGAAAACTATGTTTTTGTAACTTGCCCTCTGTAGAAATCAGATTCTAGATCTACAGAGTATTTGAACAAACATATTCTAATGCACTTGATTAAAATAGGGTTTAATAAGCCTAACAGTCTTGTTTGTGCCCCCACCAGTAGGACCGTTCATTTTATTTTTATTTTGCTTGTTGGGTTACATCTGGCGATGCTCAGGGGTTACTCCTGGCTTATGAACTCAGGGATTGCTCCTGGCGTTGCTCAGGGGATATGGGATACTGGGAATTGAACCCGGATGGACTGCGTGCAAGGCAAACACCCTACTTGCTGTAGTATCGTTCTAGCTTCAGATCATTCTGTTTAAAGGGTATCTTTCTTACTTGAAATCTGTGGGTTTTTTTTTTGGGGGGGGGGTGGTCACACCTGGCAATGCACAGGGATTACTCCTGGCTCTACAACCAGTAATTACTCCTGGCGACGCTCGAGGGACCATATGGGATGCTGGGAATCGAACTTGGATCAGCCGCATGCAAGGCAAACGATCTACCCACTGTGCTATCACTTCAGCCCCGAAATCTGAGTTTCTTATCTTAGCACCCTGCCACCCTGCCACCTGAAATTCATCTAAGCAGTGGGCACAGAAAATATCCAGAACTTCCTTCATTCAATTGCTTCTCTGCCCATACTACTTGTTGTCAACTGACCTCCCCCCACTCTGACTCAGTGAATCATCCCCTTAAGAACCACATCCTTCCTCCCGCCAGAAGAAGTTAGAGATTTCTCCTCCCCCCTGCCCCCCTTTTATATAAACCAAACCACTGGTATGTAAGGTTTGCTGGAGACGAAATGGCGGCCGGAGGATGAAATAGTGACATTCCGGGGCTGGAGCGATAGGACAGCGGGTAGGGAGTTTGCCTTGCACACGGCCGACCTGGGTTCAATTCCCAGCATCCCATATGGTCCCCCAAGCACCGCCAGGAGTAACTCCTGAGTGCTGAGCCAGGAGTAACCCCTGTGCATTGCCAGGTGTGACTCCCCCCCCAAAAAAAAAGCAAAAAAAAATAGTGACATTCCCACAACTAAAGATAACCCTGTGGGGCTTGAGGGATAGCCCAGCTGGTAGGGCATTTGCCTTGTACCCGGTCAACCTGGGTTCGATTCCCAGCATCCCATATGGTCCCCCAAGCACTGCCAGAAGTAATCCCTGAGTGCAGAGCCAGGAGTAACCCCTGTGCATTGCTGGATGTGACCCCCCCCCCAAAAAAAAGATGGCCCTGCCCCCAGTGCAGAGGACAGGACTTATGGCCCACCTGGGGACAGGAAGCCACCAGGCTGCATTCCATGCTTCCTCACATCAACCCCCTACAGGTAACAAGGTCAGACCAAACTCACCGGTTCCACTGGTCTTTGTTCCCTTTTCCCACCTGAGACAACTTAAAAGCCCCCTTAGTCTCTCCCAGGGATGGCTCTCCCCCAGCCCACCCAAGGTTCCTAGAGTTCTATCCAGGAGCACACCCCCAATAAACTCTTATTTCCTTCATTTTTACTTGTCTCTGACTCTGTGCTGGCTGAAGTCAGCGATCTGCCACATATTTTAATAGGAGGCGAATGTTTGGGGTCACACTGGCTGTGCTCAGGGGACCATGTGTGTTGCAAGGATTGAACCCCAGTCAGCAGCAAGCAAGGTGAATGCCTTATCTGCTGTTCCATCTCCAGGGCTTGAAAACTGAATTGTAGCATTAGAGAGAAAGAGAAAGCTTGCTTTGCATAACGCAGGCATAGGTTTGACCCCCAGCCTTGCATGGTTCTCTGAGCAGTGCCAGAGGATCTTGGGACCTTGGGTCAGCCTGCTGGGAGTACCCCCAGTAAATCCTGGGTGTGGGACCTGGTGGCGATAGCTCAAAGGGTTAAATCTTATGTGGGATCCCAGAGTTCATATACCCGCCAGTCACCCAGAACTCTATGCTGGAAGTAATGCTTAGTACCCTAGGGTGTGAACCCCAAAGAGAAAAGGAGTTTATTTCCCATCCAACCTAATTCACATTTATTCTACTATTTGAGGTGTGGAGAAGAAAATCTTTCTCCTCTTTCAATTGGAGTCAGTAACCGGGGGTGAGGGCGTCGAGGGGTTGCCGATTCACTGTAGAATTATAAGGCACGACAAGATTTCCGAATTGGGGCCAGACTCCCAGAAAGAGAAAATCCCTGGGACAGTCCCACAGGACTGTTTATGTGGCCCGTCTAGGTGCTTTGTGCTCAGGGAAACTTACACTGTGTTGGGACTTGACTATCACAGGGTCTGGCAGTCATAGGCTAGGTGAGCACATTTATCCTCTCCAGCCACAACTTTGTCTATCTTTTGTTTGTTTCTGTGGTGCTCAGGACTTACTCCTGGCTCTGCTCCGTAAATACGCTTGGTAATGCATAGAATCTGCATAAACATTGGGGGGCCGTGGCTTTCTCTGACTGAGATGGAATCCGGGTAGGTTGCATGCATGCAAGGTTAAGTGCTTCTCCGCCCTCCCCCTTCCGCCTCCGCCCCTCCCACCCAGGCACTTTCTCTTCAACCCCCAACTTTGTATAATTCTTTTTTTTTTAAATGTAGAAGTATTGCTATTTATTCAGCCATTGATTAAGCTGGGCATGAACTCCACTGTGTAATTCTTAAGAAAGAGATTTGTTGTTCTCTTTCTCCCTCTCCCTGACCCCTGCATCCAAGGGAGAAGAAGATGGAAGGTTTTGCCGGGCTTTGGGATGCTCAAGGCAGTTAGCTGTCAGTCTCCAGTCCCCGCTGACTTTCCAGGAAACGGTTTGGAAGGCGGTTCGCCGCCCGCTTGCGCCGAGGGAGGGGGTTTTGCTGGGGGCAAACGAGAGGAAATTCCGTGCACATTTCTGTATCTTGGGTAGCGCAGATCAGTTTATTCTGAAATCATCCTCGGCGGTTATTAGGGAACGTAATTCAGTGCTAGGGGTCCCATTTCGGCATACCTCGCCCCCCAAATCTACGTCCACCCAAACTCAGTGGGGAGGGCGTGCAAGTTGGTTCCCGTTGGAGGGGGTTTAGTTTCCCCGGTTATGGGCAAGAGTTTGAAAGTGTTTTTTTTTTTTTCTTGGCCGGAGAGACCGCAGAGAGCGGGAGGGCGGGGAGGGGGCAGCCAACGCACCCGCGGGTCACGCGCTGGGCTCGGGGGCTTTCCCCGGTGCTTTCCCCGGGGGCTGCGCGGGGTGCCTGCAGCCGCAGGGCGCGCTCCTCCAGGGGGGCCCCCTCCCCCAAAACGCACGCCCGGCCCCGCCCCGCCCCCGGGCTCCAATAGAAAGCGGCCGGCGGGTCCGGAGCTCGCTCTAGAGTTTCTGTTCCGCGTCGAGGAGCGGGGAAATCGAAAGCGCTGGCGGGGCGGGCGGTGCCGGGTGCCGGGCGGGCCGGGCCGGGCCGGGCCGACGGACGCGCCATGGCCGACGCCGAGGTGTGCTCCTTCCTCACCAAGGTGCTGTGCGCGCACGGCGGCCGCCTGGCCGTGCCGCAGCTGCTCCGCGACGTGCGGCTGCCCGAGGCGCAGCTCGTGCAGGTGCTGGAGGCGGCGGGGCCCGAGCGCTTCGTGCTGCTAGACGCGGCCGAGCCGAGCGGCGTCACCCGCTACGTGCTGGCCGCCGCGCGCGTCCGCGTCTGCCGTCGGAAGACCTGCCAGCGGCCCTGCGGGAACCTGCACCTCTGCAAGCTCAACCTGCTGCGCCGCTGCCGCTACTCGGAGCGGTGAGTGCGCGGGGGTCGGGGGTCGGGGGTCGGGAGCGACCCCCGGAGCGAGCGCCCACCCGGGCCACCGCGGCAGCCCCCGCCCCGTCCCGTCCCGTCCAGCCGTGCGCTTTGGCGCGCCGCAGCCCCTGGCCCTTCCTTCTTCCCCTTCCCTCGAAGCTGCTGGGCTCCGGGGCGCTTTCCCGGGAACCTGCGGGGTGCGGGGAGAGGCCAGGGACTAGCGGAGCTGGCGGCGGGGGTGGGGACGGGGGTTGGGGGTCGTTTTCGGAAAATGCGCAGTTCTGCGCGCCCCCGAGCCGTTCCGGCGCCGCGACCCTCCCGCGCGCGCCGCCTTCTACCCCCGGGGATCGCTTTTCTGCTCCCTGAAGCCACCCGGCCCCGGGCCGCCTCTTCGAGGTTGAGACCCTCGCCCAGGGCTCCCGGCTCTGGCCACGAGGGCTTGTTTTTCTGCCTTTCCTCCTTCCTTCCTCTTCCCTCCGCCCGCTACCCTTTGCTTCCCTTTTGTCCCTTCTCTCCCTTGATCCCTTCCTTCTTCCTTCCTTTCTCTCTCCCTCTCTCCCTCCCTCCTTCCTTTTTTTTTTTTTTGGCTTTTTGGGTCACACCCGGCGATGCTCAGGGGGGCTTCTTCCTGGCTCTGCACTCGGGAATTACTCCTGGCGGTGCTCGGGGGGGACTATTTGGGATGCTGGGAATCGAACTCGGGTCAGCCGCCTGCAAGGAAAACGCCCTACCCGCTGTGCTATCGCTCCAGCCGCCCCCCCCCCCCACATCCTTTCTTTACTTCCTTTCTTCCTCTCCCTCTCTCCCACCTTCCCTCCCTCCCTTCCTCCTTCCCTCTCTCCCTTCCTGATAAAGGTGCGTCCTGAGGTTTGGGTTAAGCCTTTGGATCCATCTTCCAAGTCTCTGCCTGAGCCTTAAGACACCCACCCAGTGTCCCCGTCCTGTCCGGTCCTGTCCGTGTCCACGAAGATGGCTTCCATATGGGAATTAATGAACCAGGGCCTCCTGCCAACATCGTCAGACTCATCTTCCCTGCTCTTCTGCACTCCCCAACCCCCACTCAGCTTCAGTCCCCAAGTCACCCTTTTCTTGCTTGCTTGCTTGCTTGCTTGCTTGCTTTCCTTTCTTGCTTTCCTTTCTTGCTTTCCTTTCTTGCTTTCTTGCTTTTCTTTCAGTGACTTTTATTTGGTCTTTGGCTATTTATTTTCTTAAACGATAATAAAGTTTTATACTTGCAGTGCTGCCTGACGCTACTCAAGACTGTCAGGTCCTTCTGTTCCCCACAGCCCCTTCCTCACACCCTCTACCACCTAGTACCCCAAGATCACAGTTCCATTGACCAGGTCCCAGAATCCCCAAGTCCTTTGCAGTCCTTCCCATCTTCCCATTTCCATTTTTTTTTTTTTGCCACACCCAGCGGTTCTCAGAGCTTGATCCCGACTGTGCTCAGGGATCACTCCTGGCCTTGCTCTGGAGGGAGGGTCGGGGGAGTGTTCGTGCAAGACAAATGCCCTACCTTCCGGACTCTTTCCCGTCTCCCCTCCCTTTTGAAGGAATGTCTTGTTGAAGTTTTGCACGAATCTCTTTGACCTTAGTCTTTCTCCACATTCTGCACTTCCACTTCTGATTTCTCATGATGGAGTATTTATATTTCTTCCCTCCCCACCCCCCTTAAAAACTGACTGGGAGAGGGGGAAAAACCCAACCAAAAAACCCTTGAGGCAGAAGAGATGGTACAGGGTTTACTCCTGGCTCTGCACTCAGGAATCACACCCGATGGTGCTCAAGGGACCATATGGGGGTGCCGGGGATCGAACCCGGGTTGACCTTGTGCAGGGCAAGGGCTCAACCCACTATACTATCACTCCAGTGCCCAAACTCCATCTTTTTATTTGATTTGTTTTTTGGGATTACACATGGAGATGTTCAAGGCTTACTCCTGGCCCTGTGCTTAGGGAAAACTTCTGGCGGTACTCAGGGGACCATATCAAGGTGCCAGGGATTGAACCTGGGTTGGTCTTGTGCAAGACAAACATCTTCTTGCTGTATTATCTCTCCACCCACAGAAAAAACTTTAGATGGGTCCTTACCCCATGTGAGTATAATTGAGCATGCAAAAGACTTGGTTGATGTGGATAAGGAAGATGACATATTTATTTATTTATTTATTTATTTATTTATTTTTTGCTTTTTGGGTCACACCTGGCGATGCACAGGGGTTACTCCTGGCTCTGCACTCAGGAATTACTCCTGGCGGTGCTCGGGGGGACCCTATGGGATGCTGGGAATCGAACCCGGGTCGGCTGTGTGCAAGGCAAACGCCCTACCCGCTGTGCTATCTCTCCAGCCCCTTAAGATGTTTAAAGCAACACTGTCACTGTCACTGTCCTCCCGTTGTTCATCGATTTGCTCGAGTGGGCCCAGTAACGTCTCCATTGTGACACTTGTTACTGTGTTTGACATATCGAATACATCACGGGTAGCTTGCCAGGCTTTGCCGTGTGGGCGAGATACTCTTGGTAGCTTGCTGGGCTCTCCAAGAGGGGCGGAGGAATCAAACCTGGGTCGGCCATGTCGGCCGCGTGCAAGGCAAAAGCCCTACCCATTGTGCTATCGCTCCAGCCCAAAGCAACACAGATTTTTTTTTCCCCAAAATGCTTTCATATGCTCCATTATTAAGAAAATGTATAGAATAAGTCGTGAGGCAACAATGAAAGCTTTTGTAAATAGCAGAAATTCTGGGTATTGAGGGAGGCGGCCAGGCTGGGTCACAGAGGCCCGTGGAATGAGGAAGGAGGGAAGGGGGGGGGAGGATAGTAAAGGAAGGAACATTCTAGCACTATGCCAACTCAGTAAGTAGAAGGATCTGCTTTCTCTTTTGCTGTTATATTATTAAACATTCTTTTGGTTTCTAGAACGTGTGATCTTTGGGGGACCAATGTGACTGGTGGATGGTCATTGGGATTTTGGTGGGGATCATTAGCATGTGTACCGTTGGTTAGAAACCAGTGAAAACTAATAAGCCAAAAAACATACTTATTGTTTAATTTTTCACTATAGTTTTTTTATTTTATTTTATTTTTTTGCTTCTTGGGTCACACCCGACGATGCACAGGGTTTACTCCTGGCTCTGCACTCAGGAATTACTCCTGGCGGTGCTCGGGGGACCATATGGGATGCTGGGAATCGAACCTGGGTCGTCTGCAGGCAAGGCAAACGCCCTACCTGCTCCCAGCCCCATCATTGTAGATATTTTTGATATACACTAAAGTTGGGAGAAGAATTATCACTCCCATAGGTGCCCATCATGTTAGTAAGTGGTGTTTGACAAATGGTCAAAGAATACAAAGGTTAGTCCAGAGGTTAAGGCTCTTGACTAGCATGAGACAGCCTGCTCAGATCTTGGCACTGCATATGGTTCCCCCAAGTACTGCCAGGTGTGGTTAAAAAAAAAAAGGCAGGGGTTTCAATTTTTTTTTATGCTTTTTGGGTCACACCCAGAGATGCACTGGGGTCACTCCTGGCTCTGCACTCAGGAATTATCCCTGGTGGTGCTCAGGGGACCATATGGGGTGCTGGGAATCGATCCCGGGTCGGCTGCGTGCAAGGCAAACGCCCTACCCGCTGTGCTATCACTCCAGCCCTTCAATTTTGTTTTCATGTCTCCCTTTTCCATTTTGCTCTAATTTCAGTGTGTTCCTTTATTAAGTTTTTTTGTGAGGGAGCATTCCTGGTTCAGGGGCTGCCCACACCCAGCTTTGTACTCAGGGGTTATTCTTGGCAGCCTGGTGGCAGGCCTGGGGCCAGCCTCCTGCATGCGAAACCTAACAAGAAGGCCGTTTGAGCTTTGACCCTGGCCCCAATGTGTTCCTTGATTTTATTTATGCATTTGTGTGGGGTTGTGGGGGTTATTTTTAGTTTATTTGGGCCACACTGCCGATGCTAGGGATTACTCCTGGCAGTTCTCAGGGCACCGTTTGGGGTGTCGGGGATGAGCCCCGATCTGCTGCATGCAAGGCAAGAGCCCTAACGCTGTGCTATCACTCCAGTAAGGTCTGACCCTCATACCACAGCCCCTGTTGGGTGGGTCAGAGTAGGTGGGCTAGGGTAGCAGGGGACAGGGGACCAGGCCTGACTTTCCAGCCGTAGCCCAGCACAGAGCTCTGATGAATCAATAATTTCTCACTCCAGCTTGACTTTCCAGGTTGTTAGCAAAGCACATATGTCAGACTAGAAAGACAGAAGAAACTTTTTTTTTTTTTTGCTTTTTGGGTCACACCAGGCGATGCACAGGGGTTACTCCTGGCTCTGCACTCAGGAGTCACCCCTGGCAGTGGTTAGGGGACCATATGGGGATGCTGGGAATTGAATCCGGGTCAGCCGCGTGCAAGGCAAACGCCCTGCCCGCTGTGCTATCTCTCCAGCCCCAAAGACAGAAGAAATTTTAATGAATGCTGTTTCATTTTTTTAATTGGATGATTCCTTATTCACATAGAACATTTTTTCAGGTATAGCACTGTAGCATTGTAGCCCCAGACACGTGCAAGGCAAATGCCTTACCACTGTGCTATTTTTTCAGGTAGCACTGTAGCACTGTCCTCTCTTGTTCATCGATTTACTCTAGCGGGCCCAGTTACATCTCAATTGTGAAACTTGTTACTGTGTTTGACATATTGAATACGTCATGGGTAGCTTGCCAGGCTCTCTGAGAGGGGCGGAGGAATCGAACTCGGGTTGGCCAGGTCAGCCGCATGCAAGGCAAACGCCCTACCTGCTGTGCTATCACTCCAGCCCGGTACTCAACATAGTAATTCAATATCTATACACTCCAAAACGATCACAGGAGTTAACATTCGCTACCATATAAAATAATAAAAAAAACCCACCCCATTTTGTGGGTTTGATTTTTGGGGCCACACCCCCATGTTCAGAGCTTACTCCTGGCTCTGTGCTCTGGGGTCATTCCTGGTGGTGCTCCAGAATCATGCAGGGCTGGGCCT